ATTCCAAAATAAACAACAGTATGCATGTTGAGAAGTAGTGAAGTATCAAATCAAATAAAGAGACGATTAAATAATACCTCAACAGATGTCATTGTCAACTACAAGACTTTTAATAACAGATGCTCTAAAAATATATGAATCTTAAATTTTAGGAAATTTGATTGTTTACTTGTGCTACAATTTTTTTAATTCAATTTATTCGTTGTGAAGTCAATCAATACCTTATTTTTGAAGAAGAGAAATGTGACTGAAGTTCATCTGTGGGTATCAGAACCACTTGTTTCAGCTCTACTGTTTACTAGCATTTGTTAGCATTTGGGCAGTGAATTAATGTGCTAAGACTGTAATTGTGTGCGCCTGTGCGTGCATGTGTGTCACTTTTCTTTCTTTTTCCCTCTCTTGTTTTCAAATTAGTGTGACGGGGAAGATCACCAACAATGCCACTTGGGAAATTACACCCCAAGAAATACTAACGTATGATTTTTTTTGAAGTACCCAAGGCATGCAGATAAGTCACTGTAGAGATTCTCATGCTCCAAGGGTACAAAACCAAATGTTATTAGGACAACGGATAGATTGGGGTGCGTTTTTCAATATCTGCAATGGTATTCAAAGATGAAAATTTCTTACAATTCAAAACAGGTGAGAAGATGATTATGGTGTTGTTTGGTGCCTACATTGTTCCAGTGGTAGTCGTGATTTTCTCAATGGAGAAAATGGAGGCATGTGGGAGGTGTGCTTAGACCGAGCCTCTGACAATGAAATAAATACAATATGTGATCAGTTTCACAAAAAGTGATATTTGGAGCTTAACGGCATGGAGCAAAATCCCACATCGGCAGTCCTTAGAAAAGTAAGGCATGATTGAGAAGGTTACACAGCCAACACAATGGTTTGCTGCCATGGTGCTAAAACCCATTGAGGGGAAGATTTGTCGCTGCGTGGACCTCAACAAGCGGAACCGAGCGGTGACGGGAGAAGTACGCAACTCTCGAGGAGTAGAGCAGTGCTATGGAGATGGCACTCTTATGATGATTTGGTGGCACATATGGTGGTGTTATGTGCCAAATACCAGCCAACCTTCCAGAGGATGCAGGAGATAAATCAAACCACAGAAGACAATCTGTCGATCCAGACGGTCTTAGGCTTCATTGTGCACATAAGTGGAGAAGCTAAATGGCTTAGTCATCAAATGATTTGCTTAGTCATCCCTGCAGAGATGAGTAAAATAGTCTTTGAGATAACCAATGATAGAAACCAGAGTAAGTTTCAATGCAGAAAGAGCTAGCCAACCACTTTGCTGCCCCCAAATTTTAGGAAACTGCAGAATACCAGCAGTATCAATTCTGCAGAAAAAAAACTAACAAAGGGAAAACTATTGAAGTCAAGTAAACTCCTATCCCGAACACGGCAGAGAGTCGTCATGGACCTAAATATATTCGATCCAACTATTGACTTCTACCCTTGGAGGTTCTAAATATGACAACCGTCAGTCAGGGAGTGGCTAGGCTGAAAGCTATGTCTGCATGTGGTGCCTTCTCTGAAGTGTGAGTGATTTATAGCTACAGCTAGTCTCAGGAAAGATGTGGGAGTTTAGCAGGGACAATGACTATCTCCAGGTGATGTCCAGTCTGCACTGTCAACAGTGCGATCGACATGCTGGGAGGGCTGTCCAGAGAGCAAAAGGGATACAAAGACAGAAAGACCCCCTCCGTCCTGTGAAAACATACACCCCCTTTTCTTCTCCTGATTTTCACTTTACTTTAGCACCATTAGCTATGAGCTCCTGGCTCATGAATTGCATTTGGAATCTGGTATCATGCACCATCAACTGCACTACTTTCAGTGGGGGAATTCCAGAAAACAGATCTTTTTGAGGGACATTTGAGAAGCGTTTAAATGAGAAACCAGTAAATACAAAATGATATTAGTCAATTGTCGGCAATCAATACGTTGAAACTTCAATTGTCAACTTACGATAATAAAACTGATTGAATAGAATTACATTGTAGTAAGCTGAATCATTTTGAATGTTTGTCAGATACAACTTTCCAATTGTTACTATGAAATAGAACAAATAGATTGAGCTGAAAAACCGACTTTGTGCTTTGCGATTTAAATTCAATTCATTTTATTTTGTATGGCCCAAAATTGCAAATTACAAATTTGCCTCTGAGGGCTTTACAGTCTGTACAAATACAACATGCTGTGTCCTGAAAACCACACATCACATATCCAGTCCCAAAGTCAAACGTTTACAAAGAGGCTATATTATTATTTCCTAATTGTTTTACTCAACAAAGTCCACGCATTTATTCACATAAATAAGGCAGGTTTTTTATAGGATTATTGTAGTGTTTTTTGAAACTGTTAAAGTTATACAGTTTTAGTTTTAACAACTTTCCGATCGATGCAAAGGCCTCCAATACTTATGCCGGTAAATAGTTAGTTTATCAAAATGCTGGTGTGTGTTTGAAAAAGCTATTAGACCGTATTGTTTGGATGTCAAATTTCTGATTAATGTTATTCAAGAATAATTTATATTGGATAAATCTAAATTATTGGTCCTCCTGCCAGTTTCACAAAAGGACTTTTAAAAGTTTCTCTTTTCAAAAAGATTGCAGCCAGAGGCTCCCATCGTTAATCCACCCACCCATTTATGTAAAAGTGCAATTGACTCATGTGGTACATGCACGTGACATACCTGGTGTGTACATGTACCTGGTTCTATTGATGCAGATTTCCAAGTTTCAAAATATATCTTACATCTTACTTGGATTTATTAGAAAAATTCCATCTGTTTTATCGTTAAAAGGGATTAGTAATTTCCACTCCATTAGTAAGCTATAGTATTTGATGAATGGCATCATCACAAGAGATGAGAACTTTCATTCACTTTCATTAAAAGCTCATTACATGTCTCTCAGAAATAATTCAGTCCACGTTCTGTGTGTTGATCAGAGTTTCTCAGAGTCTTTCTTGCGTGACGGCTTGTTCATAGTCCTTTTGAGGAAATATATTCATCCCCTCTATTGCTAAGAGTTAACTGAGAGGAATAATATCACTCTGCTTTTGTTCTGTACAAAAATGTACAAACATTTCTATAAAAACAAGTATGTATAAACTCTGAGATGCTATGGAGACATGTCCTTTATTTCATACACGTTTGAAGTGTCTGCATTGTGGAATACAGAGTTATCTGTGTATACTATGCTGTGCTGGTTGCCTCTGACTGATATCTGATGTGATTTGGAATCTGTTGAATTCATCCACTGTCGCCTGAGTAGTCACTGATGGGCGATTTGTGGGCAGCCAATTGGATGGACAAGGGCACATCATGCTAAGTCACTAATGAAGAGCCCCGCTGCACTGAGGCATAGCTCTGTCATACATACAGACTCTTTTTCACACCTCATTTACATTTCAACCAATACACTAGAGAGTGTGTGTGTGTGTGTGTCGGTGCCCATTTGTATGTGTAGGTCATTCAGTGTCTCTTAGGTTGTATACATTTCTACGTATTTAATCTTTCTTGTTCAGAGGACACCATTTTTTATTTTGAGACCTCATTTAGGTCTTACAGACGAGAATTCGTCATAATAAATGTTCCTTATTTCAGTTTTCTACATTATTTGCTCTTCCTCACTTAAAGACATACGTACCCATTTTACCAACATTTGACAACACACCTTGTTCGATAAATAAAAAATGTATAATTTAACTTCAAAGTTAGCACTGGTTAAAAAACACTTTAATACAAGTAAAATACTCGTATTTCATCTTATCATATGCACTTTAAGTATAATGCATGTGTTACCTGCACATCAGTCTGCATGGATACACACAGACCGTGTACATCACACCCTGTGCGCACGGCGCGGACCTTGATTCGCAGAGAGCGGCAGCGCTGTGCCTGCACTCCCTCCGTCCCTCCCCACTCCCTTGTATGCCTCTAGGCGCTACCTTATTTTCCCTGAGGAGTGGCCCTGACAACCCCCCCCCCCCCCCAAACACAGCCCCCGATGCTCAACATGGACCAGCACTTTTTTTTGGACTCTTACAGCAGAGGGAGCACACCAATGATAGAAGTAACACATATAAACGAGGTTGGATGAAACCACAGCGGTTTGGATACATCTGCTTGCATAATTAAAGGCTTTAAATCAATCAGTATGCTCCAGTTACAAAACTTGCAGCTAAATTAGTGAAGATGAGAAGTTAGTTATTTGCAATGGATTTAAGCAGATAGAAAGAAGACCTGTAAATCATAAGAAGTCCTCCAGCAAACCTGAGCCAAGCTTATCTAGAGTTCTCAAAGAACTATTAAATTGGTAACAAGCATCGGTTAATACTAAAGACACTTTTTCAAAATATATGTAGTCTAACCCACATGCATATTTGAAATTAATCTCAATTCTAAAACTCAAACCGCCAAGACACATACAAAATGAGCTTAATCAACCAAAACACTGCCTCCACACATTCTCCATCTCCCTGCCCCTCCTCTGTCCCCAGCAATATGTCTTCTTCAGCCCGGATTTCGGCTGTGGAATGATCATTATTACATTTAAAAATAATATTCTGCATATATTAATTTATTTTGATGCAGAATTCACAAAACTTGAAATTGAATAACATGTTTTAAAAACACTGTACTCCACAAGTTTGAGTGGATTTTGGAAATTGTGATCATTGAAAGCTTTTTGTAAAGAAATACCGCTGCATCAACTGTGTGACGAGGTTTGACTCCCAACATTTCCCTCTCCCCAATATATGCCTTGACTGCATTTAATAATTTTAATTCTGTACGAATGCATGAGAAGCACACCTATATATTATACATTATATATAGCCGATGTTTATCTTTTTTATTTTGGTAAAAAGTGTTAATATATCGATATTTTGTGTTGGCGATTTCTAAACCTCAAGGGCAGGGGAAGGCTCAGCACCACGGACAGCTCTCTCCCTCTCTCTCTCTGTCTCTCTCGCAGGCGCACACTCGGCAGCTGGCTGCGATACAGCTCCTCCCTCCTGTGTGGTGGCTTTCCCGACTAAAGAGATCCTTGGACGTGAACAGTTTTGCTGAAAAGCACTTTCTCCCCTCCAAAGAAGCAGGCAGACCAACGGGGCGTCGGTTATTCTATACCGACCAGCGAGAAGGGAGTTGCGAGGTTGGATGAGGTCTTCAGTCGTCTTTCACTCTCCTAAATCTCTGTCAGAGATGAAGACTTGGTTTGGCTTCTGCCCGGGGCTGCACTTCTCCATGGCCATCTGGGTGGTGATAGCCGCCCAAACCCTCCAAAACGCCAAAGCGGAGATAAGTTGCGCATCTTGTGCGTCGCCAGTTCAACTTCATGTGGGAGAATTCATGCTGGGTCCGAGCGCTGACCCAACAGAGGAGCCGCACACCCTGAAACCGATCCGGATAGAGTTCAGGGACCAAGATGCCGAAGTGGACGCCCAACATGAGACAGGCGAATCTGGAGAGAACATGCACCTATTCCCCCAACATGTCAGTTCAGAAGGAGTTGGCACAAAGAAAGAGGCATCGGGGTCCCGTAAATCTGATCCCCGCGGCCGTGATGGGGCAGGGGACACCGAGGAGATTGAAGATGCTGCCCCTCGGAGAGCGAAGAGAAGCGGTCCTGAGTTCAGTGACACCGGGCGGGCTGACATGGACGTGGACGCGCCGGAGGATTGGGGCTCACTGTTTGACGGACACAAGCAGGGCAGGTCCGGGCTCGGATGGAACCGGGGTGAAGCGGGAGGGAATAACCGGCGGGATGAACCCAAGCTCATCGGCACCACTTTCTCTCTGAGCGGGGACTCCGCGCACAACCACGCGGTGGTTTACTGGTCAGGACAGAACAGCAGCGTGAGTAACCATGTTGTTTGCTTGTTTCTTTCTTTGTTTTCCTACATATTCTGGTGCTTTTTACACGAATCCTCAATCAGGATGAACAAAGTGATTTGAGGAGGTGGGTGAACAGAACCTCCGTGACGCACACAGCGGATACGTTGTGTTCTGCGGTGCCGCTGAGTTGTGGTCAACTGTTAACAGGTGCACTGGAAGCTACAGACGCGCTCCGACGCACGCTGCTCCCCACACGCACGGCAGCTCTTTGCATCGATTGGAAACTATTCCGGTCGCTACCTTTGACTCTGGCAGAAATTAGGCACGAACTCGCTCTCTGCCATTTGCCATTCAATCACATCATGCATCTGCAATTGTTTCTGTCCCTAATTGGTATGAAAGTGATGCATGGGTATTAACCTTAGATGTGGTTTGTAGTCAATTGAGATAAGTAAATCCATGATTCATCGCTCCCTATTGATGGGTTTTCATCCAGACGAATTGATTGGGGAATGAAGAGGTAATACATGATTGCTTTACATAGAGCAATCCTTTTTTAATATGCGGTTAAGTACTGTATGTATTTATCAGTGTATTGACGGAAGGACATCATGTAGACGTGTGTGCGACACAAGGCAACTGTATAGTTCAACGACAGCATCAACCTGCGGGCTGCACTTTCCTCTCTAAAAGGACACTGTCCACATTCCGGCCAATTTTGCAAATGAAAAGGAATTCTTGCCCTTTTACACAAGGGAACCCTAATGGGAATAGAATAATGAGACAAAATGAATCAGTCATTTACACGACCATGCAAGCTGCAAAGGAGCCGATGGGCTCGTCTTTGTGGTTTCACATGCTTAATTTGTTGTTGTGGCTGCTTCTCTCGCTTTATTCCATCTGAAAAAAAAACCCTCATTCAGTCTTGTCTGAGCAAATTATGACACGGTGCATGAACTTGTTTTTTTATCCCGAAATACAGACTGAGGCAATGGGAGGGGAACACGTTGGTGTGCGTGTGTGCTGGATGGAGAGGGTGAAGAGGTTATTTTGTGCCGCTGCCCCCTCAGCTACAAATCTTTAATAATTATCTTGAAGACTGAGGCTTTTATTTCAAAGTCTTGTCTTCTTCCGTGGCTCAGTGAGGGCAGCCAGGACCGGCCTCGAGAGCATCTTCAAGTGGAGGGATCTGCTACTTAATCTTCATTGGCCGTTGGTGCTTGTCCTGATGATAAATGAAGTACGGCGAGATTGAGCATGAAGTCCTCTAACTTAAATGCCGCTCTAGTCGGGTCGGAGTAAGAGTGAGGGGCTGACTAACCGGATGACTAGCGGGTTGGATGGATGACCAGCTCGGTCCAGTCACCTTAACCTTGACTCTCCATTCATCTGTCCTTTCATTATTCTGTACTGTAGACAACTGCGAAGACAAACGCAATGACAGATGTTGTTTAAGGTGACCAAATAACCAATAACATTTGATCATACCACTGGTTCTATTTAATATCACTGAGAACCACCTTAGGTTGGGTTTTTCTCCGGAAAGACATGTCGATTGGTTGGATAAAAAGTCTTATAATTAGACCTGTCAAAGGAACGTCTTCTTTGGAAAATACCATTTCAAACACAGCATCTTGGTAGAAGCTTTCTGCCAGCCTTATTTTAGTCAGATTGGTCGGCCGTGTCTTGTACTGTGACTCCCTCTGGGAAGACTCGACACCACTGTGGGTTCCCTGGGGGAAGGTGGTGTCCTCTGAGGCGTATACACAAGGCTAATGCACTCTCACCGTCTCTCTGTACCTGTCCAACTAGCTGTCTGTCTGTCGGTGTACGCGTCTTCATATTTCTGCCTCCGGCTTACACAGGTTCAGTGCTTCAATCCTAGATATTAACCGACAATTTAGAAGTTGACAATAACCGTCATGTATAATATTCATGGACATCATTTTGCTGAAGCGTCCCACCCTCTACGCATAAGGAATCTGTAACTACAGCTTAAATAGAAAATGGTTTGGACCAAGACAACCTCTTGTGTGATCTTGAAACATTCATCTTCTCAATCCGGATCTAGGGATTTCCCCGCAGTGGCATTTATATTATATATAATTATTTTGTAAATGGTCGATTTAGAGTCAAATACGATTTTGGGCGGAGCTGCACGCTGATTGACAGTTTGACATCACAGCTTTTTTCACTTCTGTTCCAAAAAGAAAGATGTCGATAGTGGAAAAGGCCGAACTCAATACTCAATACTTTATGCACTTCTCATATACATTGTGTTGTACTTTGGCACGTGGCACTTTCTTTGGAGGCTGGGTGAGAAAAATGAACGCCTGTACGAGCTCCTTTTGAGTGGTCTTTTATATTCATGAGAATTGCAGGCACAGGTCGGTCATATCTGGCAAGTCATCGATAGAGCTGTGTGTGTTTAAAATATCTTTTTGAAGAACACATGCGGACTCTCAGAAGCGGTGTCTGATCGTAAAACTATATGTGATAGAAAGCTGAGGATCGGCCAACTGCCCTTCTCACATATTCGATTCTTTCACAGTCTCTTGAAACATACTTCATCATCTCCCACTGGTCTGGACTATTTTGCACGTCAAGCCAATCAGTAGATGCACCATTCTCCGTATAGAAAGAGCCAACACTGGCCAACAAGGACAGAGGCCCGTGCAGCATTTCCATCCACGGTGTCTGCGGCCAGGGCTAAAATGATTGAGGATGTACGGCCAGGTGTTGTTCCCACTCGCTTTCCAACACGCCGTCTCACTCCTCAGCCTGAATTACTGATGGTAATACATTATAAAGTTGTTTTTCTTCTTTCTCGCTACTGTGGCCACCAATAAAGTTTACCATCAATAATGAAACCCCTGCAGCTGGCTGCCTCTTCTTTATCCCTCAATCTGTCCTCCCTCCTCTGATTAGTTTCTACAGATGACTTCTTTGCTCTTCACCTCCTGATTTCATAGAGTGTGCTTTAAAAACTTGACATGTAACTTCATGCTAAGCTTAAGCTTTCAGATTCCATGTGTAGGATGACAAAGGTAATGTATGGTCAGTCATTTCATTTCTGATCAACGTGTACTGCTGATCCGACTCTTGCAGAACAAAAAATCACATTTGCACAAAGGTTTTGTGTGGGAGGCAAAAGCTTTTCACCATTTGTAACATCTGAAATACAGCAAAACTACTAAATATCAGTGTACATATATTATATGAGACCAGGACATACAATAATCAAACCCGCTCATTACTGCATACACAGAAACCAAGCTCTCTTCTTGAAAAAGGAAGTTAACTCGGTCAGCACAATTTGAGATTGCATTTGGTCACTTTTTGTTAAAAGGTCACCGGATACGTTTAAAAGTGTCACATCATGTTAAAACGGTCCTCAGCACTCAGCACAGAAACGCCACCACATTAAGGAAGCCATTCAGGAAGCGATCCAATCACGATGCCTCGCACCTGCTGCGGCAGCACAACGCGGATCTCGGATCACATTGAGTTACTAAAAGCTTTGAAGCTATGAGCACGTGCAATAGTGGGCACCCAGCCGGTCGGACAAGAGGCTTTAAGGCTGCGTTCGGGCCAACCTAATGGCCTCGTTATGTTCCCTGTATGATTGCCGCGGTGGCAGAGGCGCTGATGGAAGCCACCTCGCTACGACTTCAGAGAGCCGAGTATAATCATACGCTTGGCCACTGATCCTGTTCGCCAGTGCAAGGGTGCTGATATTATCTGGGAGTGGGAGGTAGAGAGAAGTGTGTCTGTTAATTACATTGGTACACCCCAGTGTCAAATTCAATTTAGGTTCATTTCTATTCTATTAAATGCCTTTCTTTTTTTTTTGTCTTGGGTAGTCGCGGAATGCAAGCACGTCTTCTTCTCACTGTCTTACTCTTGATGCCGAACGCATGGGCTGATTTAAGGAAAGATGGGATTCCACTTTCATTCCAGTTCAAAGTCTGTGAGGCAAAGAGCCTATTGTTTCCCTTTTCCAGCCAAGTGCGATCTTTGGTTTTGTATCCTACTAATAGGACCCACGGCCGGCGTAGCCGTATATAAGCAGCCCATGAACGATGGTGCCGTGTCTCTTTGCACTCATCTCTCGTTCCTCCCGGCCTCCTTCAGCTGCACGGCGCTTCCATCGTTGATACTCCTTTTACTAGGTCACAAATCGCAGGCACCAGAGACATACTGTCCACATGCAAAACCGGCCCAGGCACAAAGAAGCGCGCCCACGCACTCCCCCCTTCTTCCCCCCCAATCATTCTCAGTATCACGTCTCGCTCTCGATCGGAGTGAATGGTGTCGTGCCTGGAGGAGGTTGTCACTGATGGAGACTAATGTTGACACATAACCCCCTTGGGACCTGCACTCAATTAACACATTGTCTAATTAAAGTGATCTACTGGTTTATCTATGCGAGATTGAAAGTGGCTCTGAAATAGGTCCACGCCGCATTAACTTCACAATCAGAACTGCTGCTTCATTTCTGTTTGGAATTTAATGGTAATAACGTTCCTAAACGCCACCGCCCCTTTACAAAAAAAGATCGTGCGTGGCCGCGACAGATTGATGCGCAGAGATTTCCATTTTCTCTTACTCTTTCAAACTAAACAGAAGGCTCCAGCAGCCACTGTATGTGACTGAACTTGTGACTTTCCAATACTATATGGTGGAGAACTCCGCATGAAAAGTGCACTTTAAATAAATCCTCAACCGTATATACTGTTCAAAGACATTTTCTCTGCCTGCCGGGTTGGTGCTTGCTTCCTTTCACTGGGGATTGCAGTAAGGAGATTAAGAGTGTCGTGGATATCAATTCATTAGTAATCCTCTTGTTTAGGTGCTTTCTGTAAGGGTATAGCTTCCCCGGAAAAGAAAAGTACAATAATCTCACATAACCATGCAGAGGAAAATAGTATGCTGCGTAAAATGGAGCGCGACCAAAAGGTATCGCTAACGATCCCTTCAGCTACTCAAAGAATAGAGGTGGCGGAGGTTCCTTCCCCCGA